ATGGGCAATACCAGAGTTCTCTTTGCGGTGTTTTAATTCTGTTGGTGTATGAGCACAACATGATTTGCATTCCTAGTGCTGGGCCAATCGTCATCAAACTCCACGATGCTTCTCTTCTTGCGTTCTGTGCACTGTTTTTTCTCCTCTTTGTGGTTTTGTTTTGTAGTGTGTTTGTCTGTGTGTGTGTGTGTGTGTGGTGCCCTCTACCTTGTGTGTTAAATGTGCGTCTCTTTTCTCCTTTTCCTCTTCTTCCTTGTTACCACAGACCCAAGCAACCCACAGTGACAATCATGACAACGATGTTCGTCCAACTGCGCCGCGTAGTGTACCTGTTGGTACTTCTACAGTGTTGTGCGTGTGTGGCATATGCGCAAAGTGGTGATAGGGCCTCCATGACAGCTGATGAAAAGAATATTGAACAGGGAATGACTGAATTGAGAGCTAAGATGGAAGAGGAGAAGAAAAAAGTAGAGGATGTACTTGAGTCAGTAAACACCGTAAAGAAAGAATGGAGTGAAGTGTCAAAGCGTGTTCAGAATGCAACAACGACGGCCAAAGAAGTTGGAAAGCTTCTTATGGAGACTAAAGGCCGTGTTTTGCGTCAAACTGAAAATGAGAATAAGAATATGAGTGAATTGAAAGAGGTGTTAGGGAAGGCAGTAGATGCATCAAAAGAGATCACTGATGCCGTTGACAATGCAAGTTTGACAGCTAAAAAAATAAGCAATTTGACGCAGGAAATTCAACAGGGGGAAGAGGATTTGGCTAAAGTGATACGTCATCTTACGTGGACTGCTGATAAACACATTAACAATGAAGATGAAACCAGTCTCTCAGAGGAGAAGAAAAAAGTAAAGCAGTTGGCTGAACAATGTATGAAAAAAGTGGAGAATGTATGGACTTTCCTTCAGCGTGTCAATGAGGTCACTACAAGTACTCACAGTTTAGTGGAGAAGGCCGAGAAACAGGTGGCAACTGCCTCCGTTGCAGCAGCAGATCTTCAGAAAATCATTAATGAAACTTACCGAGCTTGTCCAGAAATAAAAGCAGATCTGGAACGTGAAATTGAGGAGGCGAATCAAAGAATAACTGAAACCGATACAGCAAATGAAGGTAAGGAACCACCACACAATAATGAGGAGTTAGACGATTCACTTCCAAATAAACAGAACGAAAAGGAGACAAAAGACCAGAATACCAATTCCACAGAAGCTGAGACGGAAGCCATGCAAATGCCCAACAGCAGCAGAATCAACAGGACTCTGAGAACGAAAATGAAGAAAGCAATGTTGAAACACAAGAGAATAATAATAGTTCTTAGAGCAACATTCCTACACCCAGTCATTCATCTGCTTCTGGATCCTCGCCATCACAATCACAAAGTACGCCGACTAATACTTCTTCAGCTTCAAACCATTTGAATAATACACAGTTAAGTGACAGCAGCAGCAGTCCTGCATTGGCGCACAGTCCCTTATTGCTGCTTCTTGTTTCGATGTGTGTGCTGGGCTGCACTGCGGTGTTCTAATGGAAGCTGCTGGTGGGCGTGTGCGTGGTGATGGTGAATCCCTCTATATTCTTTGCGTGTTTCTTTCTCTGCATGGCGTGTGGGTTGATTGATATTGCAGCGCAGGGACACACTGGCCGTTGATGATTGCTTGACTGGGGTTCATTGAGGTCTATTAGCCTTATAGGCATGTGTGCTTGTTTTTT